AACCTCCAAAAATTTTAGGTCAGACTAGACAGGAGGTGCCCGGTCGGTGATCCAATGTTGCACAAAAGATGCAAAAAATTGCACAGAAGATAGAATGGAAAATATAATTCATATAGAAAGTGAATTAGGAGAAAGAAAGAGAAGGAGCATGCGTGCGCGCGTGCATGCGCGCACGAGAGAGAGAGAGAGAGAGAGAGAGAGAGAGAGAGAGAGAGAGATTGAGAGAGAGAGAAGATTCACCTCTCCAAGGTAGAAGAGGGGGCCAAGCTAAGAAACATGGAAACCATAGCTTTAGGAGCCGTATGACCAAACTATAGCTTAGCAAAGCAATGGCAAACGACTGCTTGAAGTTGAATCCTTTTAAACCTTCCCTTTGATGGGAGCAGGTCGTTAAGGTAATTAGGTGGTGGTCTGCTCCATGTCATCACAAGGGCAGGTAAGCACAGGTACTGATGCCAGGTGATAGAACTTTAGGCAGATGGTCCTGTGACTTGCCATGTGGATGGAGTCTGCCATGAAGGTCATGAAGGGCTGATTAGGCTAACCTGTTTATGAAACAAGCTGAGGAGGGGGTTGTAAAGCAATTATCAATAGTTACTTCTGAGAAATCGGTTTTGTCTTTGGCTATTGATTAGAGGGTAAATTAAAGTGAACTGCTAGAAGAACATGACAGATCTAGGCAATGTTAAAATGGCTGCTCATTGGGCATGTGGAGTTCATGTTATGTCCTTTCACTTACCTCTGTTCTGAACCTACTTAGGGGCTCAGTACATAGTAGGTGGATACTTGTCTTAACCCATTTTGTGTTGCTATATCAGAATGCCACAGACTGGGTAATTTATAAAGAAGAAAACTTGGTTCTCACATTTCTGGGAGGTTAGGAAGTCCAATATCAAGGTGCAGGCATCTTGTGGGGGCCTTCATGCTGTGCCATCCCATGGTTAAAAAAAGTGAGAGAATGGCTCAGCCTGTAATTCTGCACCTTTGGGAGGCTGAGGTGAGTGGATTGCCTGAGCCTGTGGGTTTGAGACCCGCC